CCCGCACCGGGACCCGGACCCCACCGCCAGGACCAGGACCCCACCGTCGGGACCCCCAGGGCCCACGCAGTGCTGCCCTTCAGAAGTAACTCTTACCGACTAATAAGCACCCGGTAATTTTCACGGGCGCCCAAAACCTTTGCCGAGTTTTCTTCGGTTTTGTTTTTTAGAAGGATGGAGGGGAAGCATCGCTCTGGCTGGAGAGGAGGAGTAACGCCTTTGGTTAACTCTAAGCCCTCAGCCAGGCTGACTGCACTTTCCAAACCAGTTTCCATTCTCGTAGAGGGTTTATTTCCTTTAAGAAGAGTATTTGAAGTGAAAGCAGTTGGGGAGAGAGCATGAAGAGCATGGACTCCTCCATCCAAGCCCTCTTTCAAAGCTCCCCCAGCTCCTGCGAGGGGCTCGGTCCTGGCTGTGGAAACGTCCCCTCTGTGAGACCCATATAACTGGAGGGTCAGTTTTCCCCTGGAGAACAGGCAGGAGAGATGCTGTCTGAGGTGACCACCACCACTAGCCCACCGCCCGGTCCAGCAGCTCGATGCAACAGGTTGCCAGTGCTCAGGCGTGTTGTCCCACCCGTGTCCGCCCCTCGTGCCTTCCTTTCTTCCTCAAAGCTGGAGGAGGGGGATGTTTGCACTGTCTTGGCTCTTTTGCTACTATGACTGGAGGAAGTGGGAAAGCGAAGAGAAACATATTTGGATAGAGAGAGAACAAAAGACTAAAAGAATCACCCTGCTTTTTACTTTGGCTGATTGCATTATGCCCTGGACTGGTTTGTTCAGCAGATTTTGCCAGTGGAGCAAAACCAGGCCAAACTGCAACGTGCGTATGACAAATGAGCCCCGTTACAGGCTTTTCTTATACAGAAGACCTGCATGGGAAAGGATACAGCATAGATCATCTGATGTATACACCCAGGTCAATACCAATTTAATTCATCCAGAACATTTCACATTTTTCTTCCATCCAACCAGCGCAGTTTCTTGCATATCAGTAACAGCTCCCTATAAGAGCCAGTCATGAGTATACTGTGTATTTTTAAATCCTTCAACATTGCTTTCTTCCGCCATCTTCTGGCAATATGAAAAAACACAGCGTTTCAGTAACAGCAGTGTTGCTGTGCTTGTCTAAGGCATGGGTTGTCAGTAAAGGCAGTGCGTAATCAGATCAGTTGGCATAATTGGAAAAAAAATACAGCCCCTCTTGCTTATTTGACAGCTTGCCTAATTCTTCCAGCTCTACCAGTTGATCTAGTAGCAGTGGCTCCGTGGTTATCCCAGGACAAAATGTCTGTAACAGCAAAGAAGAGTTGCATAACGTGTGAGGCCTTATAATTTTATAATAGGACTTCACTGAGCGTACCATAAATATTTTGAAGAGATGCCTTTTTGCCAGTTTTGCTCTCGGCTCTTCACAGCTCCTTGACAAAAGACATCTTTGTTTCCTATGCAACCACAGGAAGATCTTGTCCGAGAGGCACATAAAGCTTTTCCTTCTACTGCAGCAACTATTTCTCTCTGATCTCTCAGCGCAAA